AGGGCTATATTTTCAGAATGTGTCGGTGTTGCATTTATGTGTGGGGGCGTGAGGGAAAATGTGCTTTAAGTTATATAAAGCTTAGAGCATCAGAACTGGTTCTCAGTATCGGCCGATAAACATGACAAGAAATTGGTATCGGCTGCAAAAATCCTGATTGGAGCATCCCAACAACAATGACTATTAAATGTTAATTACTGTGATACAAAGAAACCAATTTTGTAGTTAGTGAACACTAAACAAAACACAACTAGACTAATTTAAAAGACTGTGATTGGCCAGTGCATTTAAAAGCTAAGCAGAAATGTGTGCGATTGATAGCAATGTTCAATACAGAACTAAATTAAAGAAACACATTTCTAATTGTGACAACCTTATAAGACTTTGTTTATTCTGCTGGCATTTTGTCAATCCCTAGTTAATTTCCAACCCTATTCAGACAAAAAATACTCATGTATAAACAAAACAAAGCATTAACTTGCAAATATACACACAGAATGGCTTCATAAATAATCCTCATGCCGCATGGATTTAAACTAACTTACATTTACCATGATGGATGGCTAGCAATAGCTGGTGGGCAATAGCGATGAGATGACCCTTATCCTATGGGCAGTGTGTTTTGGTTTAGCTAAAGAGGGTGACTGTATTCTGGCGTTAAACAGATGGCATTGGATTCAGTCTGTCTGGCTGTCTGACTCACTGGCATCTGCTCCAGCTGGCATGGCAACTCACCTTGGCACAGACTGGCACCTCTGTGAGATGGTTTCCTACTCTGAATGGGTAAACAAGTGAAATTCAAGGTCCTACTGCCAGTGTGCACCCAACAGAAAGAAGAAGCTTAGTTTCTCCTTTCGCATGCATCCTTTTAGACACACCATCTCAGTTGGTGACAGACATGCTATTTCAAGGTGAAAAGAAACCTGCTGGTTAGACTGGAGGCTGAACAGATTCTTTTTATATGTCCTTGCTGAATTTTGGTCAAGCAGGTTGCAGAAGTGAAATAAACCCCCCATCACGTGCACATATCTCTATGGGGTTTGCTTAATACACAAATTATCTTGCTCAAATTAACAGTTAAATCAAATTATCAGTTCATCCCAGCGGACAAATATCCATCTTATTAATTAATAATCTAAAATAATTAACCACATAAGCAAGATGTCCTTCAGGATAATTAATCCTGAGTTGGTGTCACCAGCACTGTCACAGTGGACTCTGAATGCTTTAGAACTCATTCATAATTAATATTGCTTCCCATCAATTTATATGGCAGAAAATAATGGTTTAACGCTACTTTATTTAGGATTGACTGACATTTCTATTAAATTTAAGTCTGTTCATTGTATTTTAGTGTGAAGGAAAATGAAATGCACTCAAAATAAGACGACGCAAGTGTACACTAGATGAAGATCCATTTAAATCTTCTCTGTGTTCTTCTCACAGAAGAAAATCACTTCACTGAAACAAGCCACTAGAGAGCTGCAGGATTAATTAACATAGTCTAATGAATCATTTGTATGTGCCGCATGCACTGACAGGTCTTAAGTGACCCGAAGTGTGTTTTATTGATCTCAGACAGGGAGAATAATTTATCAACATATTCCAAACAAAATTCCATCACTGAACGCAGTTCATCATAACGCCTTGTGCTTGGCTGAATATTGCATCAATGCCACATACGCCATTCAGATCCTTGTAATTAAATTGACTTTAAAGAACTCAATTCGTTTTCCACACAACACAAATGCAAACAGCCTTGTCTGAGACAGCACACAAACCCAGTTTGTTTGGGTGCTCATTTATAGACAAATATATACAAAATGATGTCATCGTGGTGAGTGTAAACAGTAGAGAAAAATATTAGATGTGTATCATTATATAAGATCAGTGCATTATGTCTCAAAAGGGACCCCATACTAATTTACAGCTGGGGGTTATTAATTAAAAAAAAAAAGTAAATCACTCGATTAAATTAAAATTGTAGCTTTAACAAAGGCTAAACTATATTTACTGATTTTAATTATTATATTTAAATGTGATTCATGTCTTCCGCTACATTAATTCTTCCATGGTGGTCGCCAAAACAAAATTCATTCCCGCCACGGCTACATTACAGCTTCTTATTCGAAACCTTCTGTTGTTGCTGTTTCTTTTCTTTTTTTAAGAACGTGTTATAAATCGTACCAAATCATATTGAAATGTAAGTGAATTATAACAGTGTGAACTTTTCTGTAATCGTAGTAGTGTTGTGTGTTATTTGTTTAACGCTTTAAGATTACATGCTGACTGACTGACTGACTGACTAATAAACAAGGCTGCACGATGCGTTAGGCCAGCAAGCACAATGTAGATTTCAGTTATGATGAACACCGTTTCCATAATTATACTTTATTTATATATATATAGATCTATGGTTCTGCATTCAATGACTTTATCTTACTGGAGTTTATAGCCGTTTCACTTTACTTCAGAATGCATCAATGCCGTTCTGTAGGTCTATTGGAGACAGTCATGAATATTCCTAGCATATATAATACATGTTGCAGACATACTTGTTACATAAATGCACTAAATCGCACTTCAGCAGCATTTATTTGAGCCCACAAGAAAATCTGCACTTGAGCAACGCATATTTGAGGATGCGCAGAAAGTTTTGTGCATGAACAGGAAACTGGCACGCATGCAAAGAAATTTGCATGCTCGTACTACATAAATGCACTCTCGACTTGTAATATTGCTCTTACGAAATCTGTCATTGAAATACCTTGTACATTGTACATTGTATAATACATTGAAATATCTTATTGTTTTTATTGTGCTATTGCTTGTAATTTGATTTTTTTTTTTTTGTAATTTTTCATTTTTGTTTGATAGGGTTTACATTTTTATCAGCTTGGTATTAGAGATTACCTTAGTATCTAAAATGTCTGTGTCATAGTAAACATTATGATTACTAAAACAACTTTTTTGGTGCTGTTGTTGTTGTTATTGCAGAGTCAGTGAAAATGTTGCCAGTCCAAGTAAAATAATGAACCACTGATCCAGTTGGACCAGTACAAATAGTCCTTAACATTGTCTTCTGCTAATATTAATATGCTTTGGATATACTTTGTGCAACTTTGAATATAAAAGCACTCTCTTCTAAGAGCCCATTTTTGTGTATTTCTACTTTACTGTAATATTTAGCCTTCCTGCAAAGATACAGTACAAACACAAAAAAATAACCTGACTCAGCCTCAGCAGTGAGTCATTGAAAGAAGGACTCTTGATGCAGAGAAAAATACATACTAAATTATGCCGTCTTGGTGAGTACTCTCGAAAATCAAATATTGCTCTTGAAGGATTAACTTTTGTAGCTTTAACCCCTTGACAATCCTGTAACTAATGACCAAGTGTACTACTGTATGTTTGGTAAGCTGGAACTCCAACCTTATTAATCTATGCACATGGAATTGCTTCTTCTCTTTGGTGTCCTTTGTTGGTGCCACGATTTAAGGAACATTTTGATCTTTTACCGAAATGGAAGTAGACTTCTTATTTGTATATGTTTTGGTTAATTTTATATGTTTTGTTAGGGGTTAGCAAGGTGTTGATTGTTTGTAGTGGTGGGCAAAGCAAGGCTTCATGAAACACTGAAACAGTTAAAGCAAATGTGTCGAAGCTTCGAAACGTTTCAAAACCCATCTCTACAGTGACACCTAGTGGTCATTTTTTATGATTTGCTCCTGAACGGCTTTAGCAAAGAAACAGTTAATCAAATTAAAGTATTAAACCCCAAGTTGTAGAGTTAAGGCTTCAAGTAATTTAGTGAAGCGGTGTGAGTTTCTGACTATCATGCATAGATAATGGGTTTGAATCCAGGGTGATGCAGTTATAGATATTGGATTTTAAATGCTTTATTCTTGTAACGCGTTTTGTTTTAACATTGACAATGAACACTTTGTGAGTAAATATGTCTATGTGTCTATGTCTATAGTAATATTATTAAAATACATCAAGTCATAATTTCAGAATATTTGTACAATTGGGGATTTGAACTCAGGCCATTTGCAGCACAGCCACTGTGGACATGTGCACAGTCCACTAGGCTACAAGAGATAGAGTATTTTAAGACCATGTCAGTCAAACACAGATTCGCCGGGTCTCAAAATGCTTGTGAAATGACGGCTGCATTGAATTGATTAGTCACGTGATCTGGTGTTTCGAATCACCTTAGTCATGTGACCTAGCTGTTTCTGATCATGCTTCGGTGTAGAGTTTCAAAACACTTGCACTTTGAAATCTTGATACTTTGTTGAAATGTCAGTTTCACGTCAGCCATCCCTAATTGTATGTTTGTTTATATGCAGAGGGCTTTTGTAGGATGCACTTTAAGACCCAAAAGCAGGACCAGGACAAATTAGGGGACAATCCATCCTAATATCTACAGACTTTCTTTCATCTACTTCTCATCTGATTCCTTAGTCATCGCTCGATAAACCTATGTTTCAGTGTTTCACTTAAGGACTAATTGTATCTTTTTTTGCTTAGTCTAAATGGTTAATTTGGCAAGACTGTTCTCAAGTGCTCATATCTAATAATAAGTGATATTTAATGAGTTAACTCTGCTGGTCATGTGATTTTCCCTGTGTTTTCAGAGTTATTTATTCCTGTAAATATATCCAATATACTGTAAAGACTCAGTAAAAATCTTTACTTGAATAATTAAAGGAAGAACCCTTGAAGATGCCCTTAAAGTTGATTCTAATGTCCTAAATCTGATATACAGATTTCATAGCATTCTCTGTAGTGCCAATTAGCCTGTTACAACAGCATTTACAGTATAATTCAAACGATTTATCTGTAAGTCTCTTCCATTTAGATGTTGTTGCTATGGTTTTCATTTCCCACTTGTGCTATGCTTCTTACCGTTTGTGTGCCATTATTCAAACTGTGGCTAAAAACTTCTAGGCAGTCTCTCAAGATGGATATATTCCAGCCAGATTCACAAGACTCACCCATATCACGTCCTCTTGTCTATACGGTCTCCAGGTTCGTCCAGAGTCACTGTAGTGTAGCTGGTACCGAGCCACCCAGTCAGAGCTGCCCCAGCGACCCTGGGTGGCAATGGATGTGACCTTCAACCTATCCCGTAGGTCCAGCTGAAGCCAAGGTTGCTGGTCTTCTCCGCTCGGAGACCACCCCCCACCTCCTAGGGGGACAGATTAAGAGGCAGTGCTTTAAAAACTGCAGAGGAATGAAACAGAATTCAGGGGGTAATTCTCTTCACAATTCAGGCACTCGCTAAGATTTCATACTCCTGTTCATCATGCTGACAGGACTGAAGCTTAGCGGTCAGAGAGAGGAGTAAAAAAAAAAAAAGAATTAAATTTGTTCTAGCAGTTTTGTGGCACAGTCACTCTTTTTTGAGATAGAAATCACCAATCTGTCTCTAGGGGACAGCAAACAGGCCTCAAAGCAGTATAACATAAAAAAGGCAATTTGGAAATTACGCGGCACAGTTCTACACTTGTGTGTCTTACTATATTTTCTAGTTGCATGGATTCCTGCAGCTCTTGTTCAGAATTGAGTAAAAATAAAAGCAGGACTCACACGCACAACAACTTCACAGAATTCTTGGAAATATTTGTCCACCCACACAGACCTACTGTGTACCCACCTCCTTCTCTTTTTATTTTTCGCCAGAATTCAGCAAACGCTACCTGCAGGAAGGATTATGCTGGCAGAGAGGACGATCTATAAATCGAGCAAGCGGTATATTAAAGGAGCAGGGTTTGATTTCTGCAAGTGGCAGGATAGCAGAGAAATGCCATACATGTTGGGAAAAAAAAAATGCTGGCGAGATTTTCAAGCTATTAGCTTGGGGTTTGTAGAAGAATTGCTGGAGTGAATGTATCTGCATGTGACAGTCTCAAACTGTTTAAGAAAGAGCCTCACGTTAGGGGTGTTCAGTATACTTTATGAAAAACTGTAATTACTGTTTTAACAGTGTGTAATCTAATGTCGAGTCAGTCACTTTTGCAAAAACCACAAACACACCTTGAGTGTACAGTCATTGCTTGATATAGTTTTGTTCATGCAATTTAAAAGCAGTTTCAAGCATTAAGCTAATTTCCACTATGCACGGTGTTTGTCCTACAATACATATATTAAATGACACAGTAAGAGCAGAACTGTGTGTTCTGCACACACTGTAACAGTGCTTTGCTAATAAATGCATCTATTTTGATTGCATCAATTGAATGAACAATTCAACCACATAATGAATCTGTAGTTGGAACAAATCATCACTCTTAGGCCCCGTTAACACTAATACATTTTAGTTTTAAATTGTGTTTTAGAATAAAAATGATCCACAATCAGAATACACTAACCTGCAGAGGGCCAGTTGGGGCTTTGGAGCTGAGTGAAGGGAAAGGCGGACGTTAACAGAGTCTGGTAAAGTTGGCATGCCATCATTACACTAGTTTTCCGAGTTTTACACGAGTACATGTGCCAAACAAACAAACAAACAAACAAACAAATAAATAAATAAATAAATAAGTGAAAGAAAACATATAGCTGTTCAGTTTAAGATGATGGCTATTCCATAAAACACCTTATAGGCTACGGGTCTTTTTGTTCATGATCACCCTTATGTTTCCCTTTTAAGTGTAAGGCTGTTGCATAAAATAATAAAGTTTTCAAGAGTTCACACTTAGCTGATGATTGTTGGTAAGCTAGTTTGGCATGCTGTCCCGGGAGAGAGCCCCGAGCTCATGAGAGACTCGAGCCCGGGGCTCCCTCCCGTTGCAGGGCGAGAGGGGAGTTTGAGCTCGGGTAGATCTTGAGAACCCCCCTCCCTCCTGCTGCGTGAGGGTTGCTAAGGTGATGCGTTGCTGACAGAATTGAATCGAATTTGGTGCTAATTTGGTTTAGTCAATTTACTTAAGTGTCATGTTTTTGGGAGTGTGGGAGGAAACCGGAGGACCCGGGGAAAACCCACGCAAGCACGGGGAGAACATGAACTCCACATGAAAATGCTGACCGTTTGGGTATGCCCGAACTGGAGGCATTTTGCTGTGAGGCCGCAGTGCTAGCCACTGGGCCGCCGTGCTGCCCTGTAGACAAAGGAGGAGGCGAAGGGGTGGAAGGGGGGATTCTTCAAGACGAAGATGACTAAAGGTAAGGTGTTTGGTTATTTAAACTTGGTTAGGAGTAGTCTGATTGGTGGTTCGTACATTAGCTTAACTCGGGGCCAGCTGTGTCAATCATAAGCACATGATCCTCTCGAAATTAGTTTATGAATAAACTTCACTTAATTTATAGGTGACATTTCCTTGTTGCGTCCTCCTTGGTGTTTTAATAATAATCTTTACAGCATATTAAAGACACAGCAGCCAGTAAAGGTTGTCGAGAGTTTTGTTAAGTTTAAAAGTTGTGTTTGTGCATGATACGTGCAAGTTTTGATGCCTGCGTGAGAGTGTGAGATTGGGAAAAAGAGTGCTCGCTTCATAGCTCTGTTAATGCCGCAAGCGACTTTAGTTTTTTTATTTATTTTGGAGATAATACACAATATGAACACAACAGAAAGACATAAAACTTTACAAATTGTGTCTACTTTTGTAGGCTCAAAACAATAGTGACATATCTCGATAAAATTGCGTAAGCTTTATTGAAATCATTTACCGAATTACAAATATCGGATATATTAAAATCACATTAAATAAATAAACCAATATGAAACCAATATGAAGCTATAAGAGTGTAGGTATATACAATACATAAATTAAACTGTTTTAAAGCCATATTAAGCTTTCATTTTACAAAGGGATATCTGAAAAAAAAAAAAAAAAAAGAAGATTTTAGATATTTTCTAAAAACAATAAACTCCGGAGGAGGTTTGAAATATAAAGTATTTGGATATAATGATATTAATCAAATTATGCAAACAGAGCATTTTTGGGGTGAGTGAAAGCAGAAACTACCTTCTTTTCTGTCATCCAGTCCTGCAGTGCTGCTTTACAAACGCATTGGGGAAAAATGCAAATACAAAATGTGTTCTGTGTCCTCAAACAAGAGTATATGTTTCTATATGACGTGGTAAAATGTTAAAATGAAATTTGTAATATATGTCGAACTTTATTAATGAATAGCTGCAGAGCGCAACGTAATATAGGCTATATTATATTACTTGCTCTTATGCGCTGAAACACTTAACATTTTCTATTATTAAGATCAATGAATAATATGCAGCATCCTTAAATTATTCTCTTAAATAAAGGGAAATTAAAGTGTCATATAGCCTAGGAAAAAATTATGTTTATTATTTATTATTAAAATTATGTTTTAGGTCTCTTCGGAGCATTTGAGCTAATTGTTTGACAACGTCTATCAAAATTAGAATGTTATAAAATACAATTCATACTGAGCTATTACTGGAGAATTTCTGTGGTTTTATATTATGGATGGGTGGGCTCTCTGCGCTGGGTCGCTCCGTTAGTGGAAGAACAACTCGATGCACGATACCAACAATCGGTCGGTGAGTAAACAAATACATAAACAAATACATAGGCCTGTGCATATTGACATACAAATACATAGGCCTGTGCATATTGACATACAAATACATAGGCCTGTGCATATTGACATACAAATACATAGGCCTGTGCATATTGACATACAAATACATAGGCCTGTGCATATTGACATGTCATTTGTTTTTCGGTTGTCTTCATTTTAATCGTTCTATGATGATGCGATGGTGTTCTTTATCTGCCTGATTCCTGCTGAAGTGGGCGGGTTGTGTGACGTTTGATTCAGGGGATGGTCTGGGGGCGGGGTTTGCATGACGCACTGCGAGCTATTAGCCTGAGAGTGGAAACGCGATATCATTTCGGCCTCACTACTTAACATCCCGAGTGATTGACCCAGCCTGGCCCGATAAAAGCCCTGGCTCGCACTTGCCCGACAGTAGAAATGTGGCTAATGAGCCAAAGAGACCCCATGTAACACCTCTCTTTATCTCACTGGATTGGTTAACCGTTAAAGCTCAGATCAAGATCAAATCACTGATACTTGCTTACGGGACAGTCACTGGCACTGCACCCTCTTACCTCCACCTGCTCCCAAAGTCTACATCCCCTCCTGGAGGCTCCAGTCAGGGAGTGGTACAATTACCGAGAGGCCAGTGACTCCAAAACCTTTTCATTCAAATATTTTATGCTAGAATGATCTTCCCTTTCACACTCGTGGATTCCCTGGCATTCTTGAAATGACAACTAAAAACCCATTCTAAAAAAAGACACCTCTACTCTAGCACTAAATTCTCTTAGCACAAACAAGTTACTTTGTATAACTAGCACTTCTTGTATGTATTACCTCTTCTTGTTGAATCGTTGAATACCTCCTCAATTGTAAAAGCGTTTGCTAGTTTGACTAAATGTAAAAAAATAAAAATAAAATTGAGCAAAATATTGTCATTATTATCCTTTTCCCCCCACAAAACCCTAGTTCAATTTAAAGCTATTTTTAAAAAATGACAATGCCGGGGTGAACATAAAGGAAACCCTCAAGGTCATGTGTGTCAGTGTTGCCTCGGGGCAAGTCAGAACACGCCGGTCAGGTAATAAATGCTTCATCAGTGCAGTTCAGTGACTGGGTGCATATCATGTGTGAAGGTTTTCACCGAAGGTCGGGATGAACAGGCTTGTTAGATTCTACTGCAGTCTCCATGAAAGGCAGAGGAGACATTCACAACATACAATAAATGCGTTCAGATAATGTATTTTTAGCACAAGCATGTTATTTTATTCACTAAATCGATTTAAAACTGACAGAAATAGCAGGCTCTGACATTTACAACTCTGAGATCTTGCACTGTATTGGCTATATGAGATAGATCAGAAGAGTTGAGAGTTTGATGGCAAAATATTTAATGTCTATACACATTTAATATTAATACTAATACACTTTAGGTTAGTGTGCTAGGCTGCAGCTAGAAGGACATCTGTCAAATAAAAAAAATATGCAGTAATTAGCAGTTGATGTCGCTGTGGCAACCCCTGATGCCTGTTCCACACTGCACGCATGAACAGAACGTTTACCTTTCACACCTGCCGCCATGCAGCGAATCAGCAGCTGTTGTACAGATCAATCTATCTCTGTCTATTCTATGTAATTACTTATGTTACTCATGTACTTACATGTAGT